ATCTGATTATTATCAGTTATTATTTACGCACTATCTCTCATTTCACATCAATGAATACAATTGTCATATTTTCTTCGGTTTTCGAAATCTATCTGGTGATCAAGCATTAGCATATTGCTGATATTTAATGAATTATTCTTTCATTTTCATCCATTTGTTATAATTTTTATTAGTTTCCAATAAATTCTTCACGTATTTTTTATACAGTTAACAAAATTTTTCATTCTTTTATATATTTATCACAGTTTTTGTGTTTGAGGCCAGGTGTCGGAAATATTCAGCGTCTTTTCAAGCGCAAACTCAAAATAGTTTGGTTAGATATTACGGAATTTTTTTCTATGTGGAATTCTGAAAAATTTAAAATTGGGGAAACGAGTAAGATTTGAAGTTAAAATTTGATTTTTACTTTGTGCGATATGAATTGCATTAAAAAAGTAGCAAGCTGATAGAATTGAATAGAAGTGCCGGCACTGAAGAAATAGGCCCATGGCCTGTTGCCGATTCCCGTACTTTTCGCGACTTGCTTCAACAATTTAAGGGATCCGGCCTTTGCAACCCGATCTTTCCAAAACTGACGATTGTTCGAGATAGCTGCTGGACTTATTGCAAGGCTCGTAAGGTGCTAGGTATTTTTAAGATTGAACATATGCTCCTGCATAGCTTCGTCTAGTCTGTTCTTGAAGGCGTTCATACTCGGAGCACCAACGATGCTATCAGGGAGGCTGTTCCACATGTCGGTGACTCGAAGCGAGAAGAAATGTTGTCGCATGGTTGTGTTACAACGTAGTTTTTTAGTTTAAAGCCGTGGCCCCTTGTGTTGGTTCTTGTTTCAAATTCTAGGACTCCTTCTGGGACCTTGTATAATCCGTGGGTATCCTTCAAAATTCAAAACAGGACGTAAACGGGTGTTCGGTGCTGCATGGGTTAATCCTGATCTCTCTTTAATCCTGCATGGGTTTATCCTGGTCTCTCTTTAATTACGATGCTTTCTGTGTTTTGAATTATTAATCGGATTCTTGATGATGGGATTCAGGATGATGGAATTCGGAATAACTTGATTTTGCATTTGCTTGTATAATCTATCCCGAGCAACGCCGGGCTAGCCTTCTAGTCCTACATATACATTATATATATGTTTAAAACACAATTTTCTACTCAATTTTCACCAATGCTACAAAAAATATTTTAAAAAATTCTTCCTGAATTTCGACATTTCAATACGCATTTATATATCTCATACATTCATTATACATTTTTAAACGTTTTCGATAAATTTATAGAAAAATTTTCATTAATTTGCAATCGTTTTTTATTTCATTTTTCGAATGATTATGTTACAATATCCCAAATCATAACCGTCATTTCATGAGGATGGGGGATATACATTCATTTTACTTGCTTTTTCACTCATTTCGTCTTGTTTTTATCTTATTTTATCTAGATATCCTCTGATTTTAATGCACTTCTTTTTACTAATGTCGAATGTTAGATTTCGCCGCACTTTAGGACGCAAACAGCTACTTCGATCAATATGCTCTCTACCTTCATAGTCATGCGCTTCAAATAGAGAGCATTCCAGGCTACAGGTGTCGTAGAAGGACGCAACGCTAGCTTCGAGTGATGGAGCTATCATTCTATAAACATAAGAGCATCTTCGATTTTAGAGTGACTTTTCAAGTGAAGCCGAGCTGGTTTGGGAAGGAGAGCTCGCAGTTATCGTTTTTAAATATTTAACTAATAATAATCTTTCATTCCGTCAATAGCTTAACCCTTTGCTCGATAGTTCTACTCATGTATACACGGCATCAAAAACGCCAGTTCAAATAATTTTATTATGGATAAATATTCGTTTACAAAAGAGAACTATCATGCGTCATTGCGCATAAGGCAAGATTGTCATGATACGCTCACTATTAAAGTGTAACTGAATTGTAACTTGAATTTGTTCAATTACTTAGAATGAAAGCTCGCCAATTTCACGTTACAAAAGACTATCAGCTATTGTGGTCGAAATGAGAACAAATGCGCACTTAATAACATCTGAGAAGTGTTAGGATTTAACATGAAGGGATGTTTTGATATGCCTGCTGACATGCATGAGGATTTCCGTCTCGATTGAATTAAGTGCCAAGAAAGAGAACACTGCCTATGAATCCTTCCTGGCTTGAAAAATCTTCCCAGAGTGAAGTTCTAAATAACAATATTATATGATATGATAAGATTAAAATGGTGTAAACGATCTGCTCTGTAACGGTGTTATTGGCGAGGAGCGTGCGCTGTGGTAGAGAGCTGTGGTGGCCCCCTCAGTACAGGTGTCAGGGCACCTGTGCTGATGAGAGTGCGAAGGACGAAGAATAAGCCATGTACGTGGCTCATTCTTCTCTCTCTTTAAGCATAGAGAGAAGTAGCCACGTATGTGGCTAATTTTTTTTCTTTATTTCTTTCAGCTCACAAAGAATAAGCCACGTATGTGGCTAATTCTTTTCTTTTTTCTCTCAGCACACAAAGAATAAGCCACGTATGTGGCTAATTTTTTCTTTTAATTCTTTCAGCACACTAAGAATTAGTCACGTATGTGGCTAATTCTTTACCACGCCCTCGCACTGATATCTTATATTTCTTCCTGTCCCTCGTCGGTACTGAGCTGCGAAGCTCTGCTGCGGAGCTAGAAACTCTTTGCCGCATCGAGTTGTTCTGTCGGAGCTGTCGGCCCTCCGTTGTTGTCGCTTGTGTCACACGTCGGTGTCCTGATAGTTGATTATATTGGCAGCTCCAGCACAGTTCGGGTGTGCTTCAGTTGAACGATTAGTCCCATGGTCATGAGAAGGAACTTACTGTGAGAACGATCTACCATCTCCAGGTATATAGATGCCTGCTAACAGAATTGTAAACTAAAAGGCTAGAAAATTCCTGTTCGCAATTTACATAAACAGTTGAATTGTTGATATTTAATAAATTTATCACTATCTCAAGAATCTTATTTTACAGATAATATAAGCATTATATTGTATAACAATAAATTAATATAATACTTCGTGTCCAGACAAGAAGCGCAGCCCAATGTAAAATATTGTCAATAAAATCGCAAGTAATTTTCGCTAAACTAAAATTCATACTAAAAAGGTTGAATACATTTAATTTGATAAATCAAAATTTTTGGAAAATTTTCGCAACTGAATAGAAATTCTCGAATATAGTTTAATTTAAGATGTTTCCCTCCTACCTCACCTAATTCTGTTCACCCAGTTTCGTGGCTTTAATTTTAGAGCAATAGTTTAATGGTGACAATATGTTCCCGTGCTATCATTGCTTCGATGATTCGTTGAATAATGATAATATATACCAGTGGGTGAATGATGATAATATTTCCCTGTGCAGTTATTGTTTCGATGATACATTTGTTAATTTTTATGTACATTTTAACGCGTCGCCGATTTTTTAAAATAATGTTTCGAATATTCACACACATGATCGATTGTGTCGGCGAAAATCTTTATTCAAGTTGTGGCTTTAACATTATCACTCCCAGGAACCATAACTTATGTTTGTTTGCTTCAGTTTAAATTTTAGAAATATTCAAATTTTCTATGATGTTTGGAGGCAATTTTCAGGTGGAGAGCTGATTTTCCAATTTTCATTCAATTCTCATTGGATTCATTTTTCATGTAATTTTTACATAATTATGACTTTACCAATAATTACTTTACCTACCAATATGGCAACAACTAAGTACTGAAAAAAACGTTGCTTACGCTAGCTTCATAAATAAGTCAATTTCTACGATTTATCAAAACTGGTCAATTCAATATTTTAACTTTAACTAAATACGCAGTTGGTTTGGAAATACACGTGTAACAGGTGCGCATAAGCTTACGTGTAACAGGTGTGCTGCTGATCCGAGTGTACTGCGCACTCGCCTCAGCGCCGCGCTCTCATTTTCCAAAGCTGTAATGGAGCCAGCGTAGAGAGTTGCAACGTTAATACTAACATGAATTGTCATTTTTGCGTGATTATAATCGCTTCTTATATTTTCAATGAATATTTTTGCGTACATGAGGCATTTGACGCATTTCAACGATACAGAAAAACTTGTACTTTTAAAACTGTAATAAAATTTTAATGCTCGAGTCTAATTATGTTGTGCAGTACGGATTGTGGAAAAATTACACGTGTTTACCTGTTCACTGTTCATGTTTGTTTTCCTGTTCACTGTCCATGTTTTTTTTCCTGTTCAATCAGTCCTGTCTGTTTTCCTGTTCACGGTTCCTGTTTGTTTTTCTGTACAATATTCTCCTGTTTGTATTATTGTTCAATCTGTTCCTCTGTTATATTGTTCACTGTTCATGTTTGTTTCTCTGTTTTCTGTTCCCGTTTGTTTTCCTGTTCCATGTTCCTGTTTATTTTCCCGTACAATTCCCGTAATTAATAATAATTAATAATTAATAATTAATAATTAATAACTTCTTTGACTTATCATTGGAATAGAGTTTTAAATCACCTCTGTTGCCTGCGAAGCTTATCTGCTTATGGGCATTCACTTGGATGTCTCTATTATTTTGTAAATGTTTTTCTTTTTCTCTTTTGAATTGTAACTAGAGCTCCTTTGTGAATAAAAATCAATCAATCAATCAATCAATCAATCCTATTTGGTTTTCTGTTTGCTTTCCGGTTCCATGTTCCTGTTTGTTTTCCTGCTCAGTATATTCCTGTTTGTTTTTCTGTTCACTGTTCCTGTTCGTTTTCCTGCTCACTGTTCCCGTTTGTTTTCCTGCTCAGTATATTCCTGTTTGTCTTCCTCTTCACTGTTCCAGTTCGTTTTCATGTTCCCTATTCCCGTTCGTTTTCATGTTCACTGTTCCTGTTCGTTTTCTTTCCCTTTTCCAACTTATTTATCAACCTCTTATTCATTTGCATGTCATATACTTCTTGATTGGCCCAATTTATTTAAATTTCAATATCATCTTGGTTTATCCGCAACAATTGTCAGAAAGGTTACAAACTTTCGTGCATATGTCTTCATTCATATACATCCATCCCTTTTTGTAAACCATTGAGAACGATCTTAATCTTCCCCCTTTATTAAATTAACGTCATTATTGTCAATTCTAATAATTTTATTCAAAGCAGTCATTTAGCGGCCGGGCTGGTTGCGACTTTTCTCAATGCTTCCGAGGCTTTCCCTGCAGCAAAGCAGAAATCTTGCATCTCTGGCCGGCAACAGACAGATTCACTTCAACCTTCACACATTCAACTCGTCCCTGTGTCGTCTCGCGTGGTCTATGCCCGTCCGTTCTGCGTAGTTCCTTCTCCGCGAGATGACAGTCCTCAGCCTCTAGCCGGTTCTTCAACTGGACAACTCCTCACCTGCACCCAGAAGGCCTGTTCTTCCCACAAAGAAGCCGTAAGTCGTTAAATTAGCCTGTGCCGCTCTTAATGACTGCTTATGGAAGAGCCTTAAGCTCGCTCGCTAAGTTCCTCTTAATAAATTGACATTCATCCAGTTTCAATTACATTTACATTTCATCGAAATTTCTAAAACGTTTCATATTCGTTCCCAATGATTTACTGAAAGTTTTTCTAAAACACGTAATCTAATTCTAAAGTGATAATCGATTCTAATTCTAAAGTGATAATTGATTCTAATTCTAAAGTGATAATCGATTCTAATTCTAAAGTGATAATTGATTCTAATTCTAACGTGATATTTGATACTAATTCTAAAGTGATAATTGATACTAATTTCTAAAGTGATTATTGATTCTAATTCTAAAGTGATAATTGATTCTAATTCTAAACTGATAATTGATTCTAATTCTAAACTGATAATTGATTCTAATTCTAAACTGATAATTGATACTACTTTAAAGTGATAATTGATTCTAGTGTTAAAGTGATAATTGATTCTAGTGTTAAAGTGATAATTGATTCTAGTGTGAAAGTGATGAGTGATTCTGCTTCGAATTCTGAACTATAAGTGATTCTAATTCTAAAGCGATTAACCCTTAATATCATAGGATGAATGTCGTGACGAAATGTTCATGATAACGGAGGGGGGCACAACTTTCCTCTACCTCTCCAGTGGACGGGCGACTACGGCTTTCGTTTCTTTTTGAATAAATTCAAATGAGAATCTAGAGTATGTCGTTTACCTGTCCTCGCCATGAACTTTTTTTCGTAAACAATTATTAATTCAAATTAACAGCATGATTTAAGTTTAAGACACACACATTCACAGTTTTTGAGGCACAGTTTGAGGCATATTCACAGTTTTTGTGTTCGAGGCTTGTGGCCGAAAAACTCAGGGGCTATTTGAGCACAAATTCAAAATAGTTTGGCTCAGATATTACGGAAAATTTTTTACGTTACGGAGTTCTGAGACAGTGAAACTGAGGGGCGAAGAAAATTTGAAATTTGATTTTTACTTGGTCGATGTGAATTGCACTCAAAAAAGTAGTAAGCTGATTTATCCTTCAGAATTCAACTGGATTCTTCATGATGTTATTCTGGATGATGGAATTTGTAATAACTTGATTTTCCACTTGCAGGAATAATCTATCCCGAGCAACGCTGGGCTAGCCTGCTAGTCTTATATATTTACTATATATTTCTTTAAAACTTGCAGAAATTTTCTACACAATTTTCACCTATTTTCCAAAATTATTTTCTGAATTTTTTCTAGATTTGTACTACATTTTTATGTGCTTTGAAGTATCTCACACATTCTTCAATCATTTTTAAGCACTTGCGATAAAATTCTAGAAATTTTATTCATTGATTTGCAATCGATTTTCATCTCATTTTTTCGAACGATTATAGGTTATAATCTCCTTACACTTCCCATCATTTCATAATATTTTTTTGTGCCGTATAGATTCATTTTACATGCTTTCTCATTCATTCTCATTTTATCTAGATATCCTCTTATTTTTATTCACTTCTATATAATGCTTAGATTTCGCCCCCACTTTAGAAACTAAACAGCTACTCCGATCGTTGCGCTCTCTACCTTCATAGGCGTGCGTTTTAAATATAAAGAGAGCATTCCAGGCTACAGGTCTCGTAGAAGGACGCAACGTTAGTTTCGAGTAATGGAACCCTCATTCTAAAACAAAAAAGTGTCTTCGATTTCAGAGTGACTTTTTCAAGTGAAGCAAAGCTGGTTAAGGAAGGAGAAACTCGAATTTATCGTTGTAAATATTTAATTAATAAAAAATAATCGATCATTCCGTCCATTGCTTTTCCCTTTGCCCAATAATTATTCTCCTGTATACAAGGCATCAAAAACGCAAATTTGAGTAATCTTTATTATGGATAATCATTTACCGAAGACAACTATGCTACGCTATTGTGTCAGGTACAAGATTGTCAAGAATTGCTAATTTTTAGAGTTCAAATTAATTTTATCTTCAAACAAATAATTTGAAAGGAAATACAAAATTGTATTCTCAAATACCTTCAGATCAGATAGCGCCAATATACTTTGTATCGCCAAATACAAGATTGTCCCGATATGCTCACTATAGAAATTTAACTGAATTTCAATCTGAATTCGTTAAAATTACTTAGAATTACTTAGAATGAAAGCTCCGTCAATTACACGTTACAAAAGATTATTAGCTATTGTGGTCGATATGAGAACAAATGCGCAAGTAATGATATCTGAGAAGTGTTATATTTGACATAAAAGGATGCTTTGCATTGCCTGCTGACATGCATGAGGATTTCCCTTTAGGTTGAACTAAGGGTAAAAAAACACTGCCTATGAATCCTGCTTGGATTAAAAAAATCTTTCCAGAATTAGGTTTAAATAACGATATTACATTATATGATGAGACTGAAATAGTGTAAACGAACTGCTCTTTAACTTTGTGTTATGGACGAGGTGCGAGCGCAGTGATGAGAGCTGTGGTGGGCCCCTCAACACAGGTGTCAGTAGCGCGCAAGTGTCCCATTGACGTCATCCATGTTCCATGGCTTAAATTCCGTAAATTCGAGAATATTCTTTAAAATTTCAGGCGTTTAGTGGTTATGATGTTTCTTTAAAATTAGTTTTAAAGGCACTTATCTATTTTTTGCTGGTAAATTGGGTTCATTAAAAGACTTGATATTCGTGCATTCCAATTTTCAGTTGATAAGTATTAAAATCACTTGTTTGCTTAAATCGTAAATTAACCAGGGATTTCAAAGCAAAGACAATACCACAAAATTCACCATTTCTTTATAAGAGAAAACGTTTCGGGGTCCAGCTCCATCGTTAGTTCATAACAAAAGTCCTAGAAACTCAAAACAGTCAATTAGTAAAGTAAACTCCGTTGTCAAGTATTAAAACGGAAACAATATCGTCATTTGTTGTTTCCGTTTTAATACCTGACAGTGGATTTTAATTTTTTAATTTATTGTATTTGTGTTTCTCTGAAACACAAATCTCTGTGGCACACAAACCATTGAAACTCTGCAGTTTCATAGCTTGTATGTCGAGGAACCTGTAGCGCTGCCATTGTGTCGCATGTGTTTCTGATGTACGAAGCCAGTTTGTGTTCAGTGTAATCCGAGACATCAAATGCTGTTGTGACGAGTGTGTTGTGACGAGTGTGTTGTGACGAGTGTGTTGTGACGAGTGTGTTGTGACGAGTGTGTTGTGACGAGTGTGTTGTGACGAATGTTCCAACTAGTGTTCCATCACCCGGCATCACGCGCTCTACTGATGGCATATTTCAACGCTGTTAAAGAACCGTCGCTGTTGAGTTTTGCTGTTAAAATAGAGCTGGTATTTTACGCCTTCCTTATTGCTGTGTTTTTGTTCTGCCCATTACAAGTTATACAGTAATACGGACAGAATATTGACCAGAGAATTTTGAAAGTACAACAGCGGAAAAGAAGTACAACTCAAATCTATGTGCTTTAATAAAAAAGATAAATACTCGAGTAGCTGTGCATTAATACTTTCCATTGATTATTATATTTTAATGAAATTTTTTCTTTGAAGTGAGCAGGCGAATAAAATTCTTATGCAATAATTTTTATTCCAAGAAAAAGATAATGGTAAATTTCTGCTAGCTGATATCACAGCGTTCATCTTTGGTGGAAAGTCACTTGTGAAAATGTAACAAATGAATGATATGCAAATGGTTTTTGGTTTATGAAAGTTTGTCACTAGGCAGTAAAAGCAGGCAGCGACTACATGCAAGATAAATACTGTATACTGTATAACTTATACTGTGCTATTCAGCCGTGTGAATACGACTGGCTGCCAGCCAATGCATTTGCGGTGCGAGGCTCTAAATAAAAATATCAAAATCGGCTAAATCAACCATGGCTAATCAGAAACGAAATAGATGTCAGAAATGCGATGAGAATGCATTTCAAATTATTTAAAATTTGAATGAAAAGACGCAATTAAAAAATTAACTCGGTCACTGAACGAATGTATTGTGGGATAAATTAGCTGAAGAATTCGACAATACTGTCAATATTATTAATTTCCTGCCAGATTAAGTTGTACCGTTTTTCAAACAACCAAAAGACAAAACAAAATGGACTGACACACAACTCTAATGCTTGTACATATTGAATAGATTGGTTATAGTCATGCACCCTATCAGCCATCTTCAAACAAGTCATAGAATGCAGCCTAGAACATTGGCTCAAATATATAAAAATTAGTTCTTTACCACGCGTAATTTCAATTTCTTCAGTTAATCGATTCAGTGAGATAAGAGTTAAAATAATTAAAAACACGGTATTGATATTGGAAGATTTGCAGCGTTTTATTATTGTGGCAAAGTATTACAAAAATTCATTGTGTGATATTAATCACCTTTAATCGACGTTGTCGTTTAAACTATTCGATATATGGAGACCCTCGAAGAGAGGCGCTCCTTGTCCCTCTCAAATGAGCCCTCAGCGACCAAGTGTCTTCGTGCGGCTCTCTTGGGGCTCATTCAATACATTAAAATAACAACAAAACCTGTAGTGACCACAAACATTAGACTATGATCGTAAGGCTATTCAACGATTGAAAATAAAGTGGAAGATAATTATAAAGAAGATAATGATAAGTATGAAACGAAGAACAAATACTAAAATTACCAAAACATAAACCACGCATTTTCCAAGCCAAAATATTTATATAAACCTAGTCTTGCCTGGGCTTCTGAGCCTTTCTCTGTAATGGGTCACGGAATACTAAAAAAAATAAGCGTGTCCAAACAAAGACTCCAGAAATACAAGTAATCCAATTGCAATAAGAGAATATATTACTCCGCTTCCCTTACAGCTCCACAGAAGTCATCAGGACATCGATATAATTATTTATCAAGTCCGCTCATGGATGTCAGGCAGCCTTCGATCAGGAAGAGATTATTGGGCCTGCCTAGTGTGGGCAGAGGGTGTGAGGTCTTTCTGCTGACGGGGATGTTCATGTGGTGAATTTTAATTTAATTAATAGATAATGTAATGCTATCATGTAATTAATGAATATTTACGGGCAAAAAATGATTCTGCCTGTATCTTATGCAACATTTTCATAAAATATAAGAAATGGCGAGAAAATAAATACATAAACAATAAAGGAAAATTTATGACCAACGTGTTAACATGAGTAAAAATATGTAATTAGAAGACAAGAATGTAATATATCGGCATATGATCACAATGTCTGCAAACTCACGCTTGTCCAATTCTAAGGTGAGCAGGCAGTCCATATCATGGTGATTCATACATTAGTAAACTAATCTACCCCCACAGCAGCTAGCCACGGCATCTCATCATTTGTCAGCATCAAGATCCCTAAGGTAACAACTGCTCAGGGTTCGTACATGGACACCAGACCAAGGCCATGCTGGAAGCACCAACTTTGACGGCAGTATTTTCGTGACGATCAGTATTTTAGATTTAAAATTCTTTTCCGTATCCCTAGCATCTCTATGATATCTCGATACGATAATTGTTGTAAACATGCACTCGAAAAATCTCTGTCAGTAGTTTATAATAAACTTTTCGTAATCAAAAAGAGATCACGTACACTTATAGCTTACCAGCAGATACCACTATACCACTGATACTTTATAATAACCGAAATTTTTGAGGATAACAGTAGCTAACTTTTACCCAAAGTAATGTAATGAAAATACATCC